CGCCCAATATGCACTCATTTTTGGATTAAAGTTCGAATAGCAATAAACAGCAACGCGCACAAGACTAGCCGGTGCGATCATGCGTTTTGTGCAATTCAGTCGAACGATTGCCTATTAATGATTTTCACTGCTTCCTATTTTAGTCTATGCAAAAATAATTCAAACACTGGAAAACAGCTAAAAATTTCACGCACCACCGCACAAAAGCTGAATTCAAAACCTTGAAGGGTGAATATCTTTCCGTGTTTCCCGAGACAATAATTTACCTGTAAAAATTTTTCACCAGCCTGTAGGTGATAGCCGAGAGAGCAGGAACGCTGAATTTGAATGGGCAAGGTTGAGCGTGGGTAGGGGGTCATTACCCTAGAATTTCAGATCCTGGACCCCGTGGTTCACGAGGAATAATTCATCCGCAAAAAACTTTCATAAGGTCATACGTGTTACCCGCGGGTACGGGAAGGCTAATTTTAAATGGGCAAGGTTGGGCATGGGCAGGAGTCATTATCCCAAGATTTCAGCCTCCTACACTCCGTGATCCCCGAGATATTAATTTACCCGTAAAAAACTTTCACGGGGCCATACGTGTTATCTGCGGGTGCGAGGAAGCTGAATTTAAAATTGCGGGGTTACATGTGAGTGGGGAACGTTCCCCTAAATTTTCAACTTCCTGGCTTTTGTGGTACCCGAATTGAAAGTTGTGGACAAGTTGCTGCGGACACACACATACACACACAGACAACCCCGTGACAATATGCGTTTTGTACTGCTGTTATACAGCACAAAACGCATAAAAATAGTAGCACCGCATTTTTTATCTAGGGAAGGTCAAGACAATTGACAACAGCTAACTCAAACTAGTCTTTCTAGTCGCTCTTTGTCCAACTTCAAAGTCTTAAGCTCACGTACAAATTTTTCCCAGTGAAGAGAGGCGCAGAATTTGGAACTAGACTGAATGATAGCATGAGCTGACGGCAACCATCCGCTGAGAAGAGGTAGATGGCTCACTCCTTCAAAAGTAGCTTAAAAGTAGACCGATGCCGATCCTGACCCTTCTGCGTGCAGCAGTTGTTTCTTGTAAAATCTTATTTTCTTTCACTATCCAACAATGCTAGGAGGCTTTTAGCAGTCGAGAAAAAAAACAAAATCAGTTACAGCACCAAATTCCAAAACCAACGGAACAAATTCAATAAGTAATCCAACTTTGTCAGACTGTACTGAAAGAGTGCAAAAAACGGTGATTTCAAGGCTACTGCATTTTTGATAGCATTAAAGCGTTGATTCACATTTACTCCGACCTCATTCTACTATAGAAATTCAAAAAAATTAGGGATAATTACACTGCAGTGTTAGCTAACCAACAAGCTTGAATCGATGGTGCAGCCCGATCGCTGGCAACCACTCTCAGCAGACCACGCTTTGCCAATATAGTTGCCCAGGTAATTTAGCATTAGACGTCCCTCATCGCTCCCGTATATTATGGACGGATATGAATTGTGCATGATATTGAACACCTGAAGTGTTACATTACTTTGAAATTATAAATTTTCAGCCAGAAAGCAGGAAATAAGACACAAAAAAGTAACTTTAAAACTCTACTTTCTAAATCAAAACGGTACGGGCTATAGAGAATGCCTTTTTTTGCAAAAATATGCAGCAGGAGAGAATCGAATCGCTTATCTTCTTTACAGCCGAAACATCCCAATCACGACTTGCTAATCATTATATCAGTAATGGCCTTTCTGCTGAAGGGTTTTTTTTAATTATATTACCAAACTGCTCACACAAGCCGGTGTACTTTTGCCGGCTCTTCGCCGATGCCCATTGCTATGGTTGCTGTAAACAGAAAATATTTCAAAGCAAGCCTTCAAAAATATTTTAAAGTGATTAAGCCTTATCTTCAACCACATATCTTTCATAAATCTGCGAAAAAATTTCATTTAATACCTAAATGCGATAAAGCGGGGCAGTGAATTTCAGTATCAAATCTCAATGTCTTGACAACCTGATCGAACCTTTTAAAGCACAGACCTTGATTTAACCCAAATTTGCAAAGACTTTCTGTGCGGCAGCCGTAGTTTTTCAAGCTCCTTGCAAGGAAGAAAGTGAAAAAAAATGGAGCTTTACAAAGTAGGATCTTTGCAAAGGCATTTTGTCTTCTTTTACAGTAAAAACGTTTGAGCGAAGCCATCATTCTTTAATTCGGAGGACAGAGACTGCTATAATGTATTCTTGTACAGAAACAAGAACATGAAAATTTACCTTAGCATCACCGTTATCCTGGAACGAAAGCATGATTTCGCGAGCGCTAGCATCAACATTTTGGAATAATGCACGTTTCGTATCATAAACCACTCCAAGGCTGCTCTGCAGAAGGAAAATTAGATCAAACGACTACATGAAAAAATCAAATGTGAGCAAACAAACATAGATATGACAGCGAAAAATGCGCTGAAAGTCACCTTTAGCTTGTCATCGAAATATAAACGACTGTATGGGGCTGCATTTTCGTCGACCTGCGATGCAAAGTGACTCACAATCTCCGCTACTGTCGATGCATGCCCCATGATGACCGCTGCATGCATTCCGCTACAAATTCACATGCAAATGAAATGTGTTTTAAACCAAATATAGTGAAAATTACTAATAAATAGCAACGCACACCAGACTAGCCGGTGCAATCATGCGTTTTGTGCCAGCCCATCGAACGATTGGCTAATAGTGACTTTCCCTGCTTTGTACTTTAGTCTATGCAAAAATAGTTCAGACGTTGGAAAAAGTTAAAAATTTCACTCATCAGCGCATGAAAGCTGAATTCGAAACCTTGAAGGATGAACATCTTTCCGTGACTCCCGATTTAATAGTTTACCCGCCAAAATTTTCACGAGGCCGTAGGTGACATTCAAGAGCGCGGGAACGCTGAATTTCAATAGGCAAGGTTGAGCGTGGGCAGGGGGTCATTACCCTAAAATTTCAGCCTCCTAGACTCCGTGG